GGAGGGCTGCAGTGATGGTTGACTTTGTGGAACTTTCTCCCATCTCCCCACTGCATCTGTGGAGCTCAGCCACAGTGATCTTTGGGTTCTTCTTTACCTCTCTCACCAAGGCTCTTCTCCCAGGATTGCTCAGTTTGGCTGGACGACCAGGTCTAGGAAGAGTTCTGGTCGTCCCAAACTTCTTCCATTTAAGGATTATGGAGGCCACTGTGCTCTTAGGAACCTTGAGTGCTGCAGAAATTCTTTTGTAACCTTGGCCAGATCTGTGCCTTGCCACAATTCTGTCTCTGAGCTCCTTGGGCAGTTTCTTCGACCTCATGATTCTCATTTGCTCTGACATGCACTGTGAGCTGTAAGGTCTTATATAGACAGATGTGTGACTTTCCTAACCAAGTCCAATCAGTTTAATTAAACACAGCTGGACTCCAATGAAGGAGTAGAACCATCTCAAGGAGGATCAGAAGAAATGGACAGCATGTGAGTTAAATATGAGTGTCACAGCAAAGGGTCTGAATACTTATGACTATGTGATATTTCAGTTTTTCTTTTTTAATAAATTTGCAAACATTTCTGTTTTTTTCTGTCAAGATGGGGTGCTGAGTGTACATTAATGAGAAATAAAATGAATTTTTTTTATTTTAGCAAATGGCTGCAATGAAACAAAGAGTGACAAATTTAAAGGGGTCTGAACACTTTCCGTACCCACTGTATATATACATACACAACATTACAGTCATCAAGTACTTTGTTTGAAATACTTGGTGACTGGACTGAATTATTAAAAGAAAACAAGTTCCTGAGCAACCAAAACCTTGTTCAGTAGATTAGCATAACAAAAGAAAAATATTTGCAGTTCATATCATTTTTGTAGTGATTTTGAGAAGTAACAAATCATGCCCCCTGTTTTTTAAATAAAATATGAACAGTTACAAAATTAAATAAAGTCAGGTGCAATCTTTGTACTTTGCTGAGCACCAATGGCAGATTTATTTGGAAAAAAAGTCTCAACTTTTGGATTTGAAATAGCAGTTAAGCTACATCTGCAACAGCTATTTGGATGGATGGAATAGTTAACCTTACAGATACATATTACATACAGCCAGATTGGAAATTCATTGGCATATTGTTATGTTCTTGTGAGTTTGAACCTACTCTTCTGTTCTCCAAAAACAGAATCCATTTCAAAATGATTGGCTGCAAAACCAACAAGGTGTGTCTTAACTGGATGGTCGTGTTAAAAACCCTGCCGTTTACAGTCACTGGCCCGTGGATGGGTGGTTCTCTATTTGCGCTATCTGTACTTCTAACTGTATATGATTCTCACGAGCTAAGGATGTTTATCTTTGAAGAATGGCCCAATACAGTGGAGTGTGTAAGCAGCACAAACCTTTCAATCTGGGACAGGAACTTTGTCTCAAAGATGCCCCGGGTCTTGAGACGCTCAGACATTTTCCCTCTGAATAGCAGGCCCTTAGCAGTAAAATCAATGAGCACATTTCTCACAATCTCACCCAGGTACATGCCGCTGATCATCTTTTCATATCTGGCAGAAAAAAAGACAGAAAAAAACTGTCAACCTGGTAATGTCAAACAGTTGAAAAATTTTAAAAGGACTACATTTGCACGGCAGAAATATTAATATTAACGATTCTAACAAGGCACACTTGTTGTTGTACAGAACAATGACTTCTTTGCTTTTCCTTTTTTTCCAAATTTACACTCAAGCAACAGAAATTAGCAAAGGCATTTAATCCTAAAACTGACATTTTTATCTATGATTATTTATTTTTTTAAATCAAATGTTGCTTCATTTTGTCATTATTTATTTAAAGCTTTCTTTAACATGTAATTAGAGGTCATTACAACCTAATTTGTGACCATTTGAATTAGATTACATCTTTTGTTGAAAAGCCAAAATGAGGCTTACATTCTCACGCATGTAAAGTTGACATTATTTTTATTAGGGTAAGCAATGTGTGTGTGTGTGTGTTGCCTCTCTAGAGTGAAAGTGGGTCACACAAGCAGTTGGGACCGAACTAATACCCTGCTGTCAATGGTCACAAAGCTGCAGCTCATTTCCTTTTTGTTCTTTGTAAATTAATTGTAATGAAATGGAATTCACTGTAGTAACATACATAATTCAAGTGTTTCTTGACATATATGGTGTGTTCTGCTGCTGACTAATTTAGTTCTTTGTATTTGTTAGTAAAATAGGCTGAAAAACAATATGTAACCATTAGTGGGGACAATGTCAACCGATATTCCCATGGTGACATTTATCTTGAGATATTTGTCATACACAATTTTTTCAATGCTTCCAGATGAATATGAAAGTAGATGTAATTAAATGAATCAATGTAAGGAATTGATTTTGACAATGTTATGTTCACTGACTGTTGCAATAGCAACCTACTTGACCAACCCCAGGCTCCACGTAACTACCATTTATACTACCAAAATAAACTGTTATTTTGTGCACTAATCTGACTACCCTGTATGACACAGTATAACAAACTAAAAAATGTCTCTGGGGTCACCAGAGACCAAAAAAGGAAGGGAACCACTGAGTTAAAGCCTAAAATGTAGAAACAAAGCAAATTAAAAAACACACAAAACAAGGTTTGGAGAGCATTCACACAGTTTTTGCACCAACTGGACCCTATAGAAACACCCATATTTTGTAACATATAAAATATGTGTCTTTCACTGAATTTAAAACCTGTTCCAAAGCAACTGCCATAAAACCAAAAATAAATTTCATACCTCTGTTTTCCAGGATAGTTGGAGCTCTCGTCCACCATGTGATCAAACTGTGTGCAAAAGTCTTCAAGTTCCCCATTTTCACCAAAGGCCCCCCACTCCATGTTGACACACATGCGACCTTCGTTTCCTTCTACTAGCTCAATGTTGTGCATCTCCTCCATGTAGCAGGCATTGGTCCCTGTGCCTGGGAGAGTTAGGCATGAATTACATCTCATGGTCTTTATAAAAGTCAAGCAAAAACCCAGTTGGTTTAAACTTTAAAGAGACTTACCTACAATCAGTCCCACCTCACATTCAGGATCCTCATGGGCACAGGTCATCATGGTTCCCACAGTGTCATTCACCACAGCCACAAAATTTAAGTGAAAACCCTGCATTCAGAGAAATGTGATATGTTAGATATTTTTTAACAACATATAAATCCAGGGATTGACAAAGTCAAGAGAATGCCTTATCAAGATGTTAGGTCTCAGAATTGTAACCTTTTAAAAAATTCTTAACACCCACCTATCCCCTTTCATCAAAGCTAATTAAATGCAGGCCTAAGAAGAAAAGCAACTTGCTAATTAACCATGAGGTGTTCAGAGGAACATACCTCTGGAATAATTGTCTGTATCATTTGAATAATCATTTCTTGTTTTTCACTGCTGTTCCTGCAGGCATTAACATATGTATGTGATGGAACAGCACAACTGACTCAGAAATGCTGTCATGTCATCATCATCTCCATCAGAGAAGAACTGGTTTTTGGAAGGACAGCCAATATTTGCTTTATATTCCAAGTGATTTTATGTGTATTATTTTAACATAAGCATGTGTCCTTAAAATGGTTGTACTGTTTTAGCAAAATGTAGTAGATGTTTTTAAGATTGTTTTGCAAACCAAACTGCATAAAGCCAAATAAAAATAAGAACAAATACAAACAAAATCTTAAGCCTTTGGTGATGATTCCATGACCAGGGTATAAACAAAGCCATATATGGTAAGAATGAGGAGATCTTGAGTAAGTGAAGTGAGTGAATATTCTACTTTCTTGCAAGGTCAACAGCTCTGTGCAAATGTCATACTGTATCAATCTCAGACTTTGACGTTCTAGCTTCAGAAAAGTCACACAGCCACTAATGGCACATTAAAGGCATTTATATTAATCACTAAGTGCAAGTCAACAGTCTACAATCCATTTCCATCAACTTCTTAGAGCATTCAAAAGGTGATATTACTGACCCTGATACGACGCACTGCTTCCTTAAGTAACATAACAATGTCTTGGCCTTCACAGTCACTGGCCTTGAAACCCTTTGTCCATTTCAGAAGAATGCCCTGGACAAATCAATGGGCATTCAGTCAGTTTGTGCAGGTCCTTATTGACATTTTCATAAACAGCAAGACACACAGTTACTTTCACCACACATTTCAGTACAACGAAATGTATTTTCTGAACTATACCTGGTCTAGTTTGCTCTGGCGACAAGGGAAGGAGAATGTAAATCCCAGAGGTAAGGAAGCACCAGTCATGCCCATGTATTCCAAAAAATCCGAGATACAGTGCACAATGTGGCTGAAAAGCTAGGAAATAAGTTCAAAAAGTTATTTTATAATGTTAATTGTTAGTTTTTGAAACAAAAATAATATTAACACTATACATTACAAGAATAAACTAAGATCACCTGTTGTGAATATACTGTAGGTCTACAACATTTTTAATTGTAGGTTTCTTTGCTTACATAACTTATACTATACTTATACCGATTGCATCAAACTAGATATACCTATTAAAGTCCAGCAAAGGAATGCAAGAGAATACACAAAGTAGCTGACATTGAAATAAAACTATTGAAGAACTCTCAATGCAAATAAAACCATGACATTAAATGTTCATTAATTTTCTAGATGATCGGGCCTTCCAAAATTAATAATATTATTTGGGAAGAAAAGGAAAACTAATATCTCATCACAGTATGAGCCTGACACAGATTATTTTGGTGTGCTGTTAAGGCTTAAACCGCATATAAATATACCACACAAATTACTAGCATTTAAGCATTAATATTCATGTGGAAATTATAAAATAAAAAAGATAAAATTGGAAAAATGATAAAATATAATGTAAGTCTAAGTATATGATGTATAATATATCTCCAAAGATATGGACTCAAATGTTTTCATCTTTACAGATGCTGTAAATCAGGGGGGTTAGGTTCAAAATAATATGAGGGATACTACTACCAGCATCATCAAAAAAATATATAATACAATTTAGAACAAGTGGTTTGGTTTTTTTACATACTGTATAATACTTAAGTGCCTAAAATTGCAAGAGGAAATTTTAATTATAAATTAAATCTAGTCACAGGCCAGATATATGGGATACACAGGGCAGAAGTGGACCCTGAGGCAGGAGACAGTATGGACACTGCAATTTAACCCTTTGCAGTTTCACCTCTTCTCCTGTGCCTTGCATTATCTCCTGTGGAATGGTGTAGATCTTTTGGTGCATGTCCACACTGTGTCTTTTCTCATGTTGCATTTGAACCAGCAACACCCGAAAGCTTGAACCTCCAAGATCCAAAGCCAGGTAGTCGCCATGCTCTGAGGAGTGCAACAAGGACAAGAATATTAAGTATTATGTACATTTACAAGACAACTGGAAAACATCATTTTCCTTCTTCAGAGTTACCTGTTCCATCTGGTGTTGATCTGACGTAGGTAGGGAGCATCTTGACACTTGCCTGTCCATGGGTTTGTTTAGACAAGCCTTGCAGCATCGCCTCGCTCATCCTTGTTTTCACCTCCAGCAGCTGCTCACGGGTCAGACGCAAGGTGTCAAGCACACGGTGACGCTCAGCTATCTGAGCTGCCAAACGATAGGCTACTGCTGTCACCATGGCTGATCCTTTTCCACTGCCGTCTTGGGACAGCAAGAACCGTACATCGCAGTCAGGTACAAGTCGACGTACCATCTTGTGAAGCCTCCTGGGAAACCTGTGCAACAAAAGCACAATTTCCTTTTATATTTTTCAATGGACAAAAGTCAGTATTTAATGGGGAGTCATTTAGTTATGATTTGGGGTTGGATTTATTCTTTTTATCTTCTTTAAAATACTTCTTCTTTTATTTCACAAGATTTATATCATTTATAATTTACTACAATTTATTATATCAGAGCTTTTGTTTTACATTTGGGTCACTGTGATTTGTTATCTACACAATTCTGTATTCTGGTGATTATCTCCACAATTCTAAGTCTTTCATCTATCTATCATCTATCATGACTTTTTAGTTTGTTTTTCTGAGGAAGTTCCTTCATGATTTTTAATCTGCTACTATCTGTTGAGACAAATCAACAACGCTCATCCCAGATGTCTAAACAGAAACTGACAGAAGTTTATTTTCCAAGCAAGAAACCCAGTTGGAGCTCTCTCAAGAGATGAATAAACATTAGTAGGTATATTTAAAAAATATACATATAGGCATTCATTTACACAAGATCTACAGTGGTGCAGTGGTATGATTCCCATCTGCTACACAGAAGATTATGAGTTCTATTCCACATAGAATCCCAGTGGAATGTTTGGAGGACATCCAGTGTGAAGACCCATTATGTGTGTTATGTTGCAACCTTAATAAAAGCACAAGCTGAAAATGATTTTTAAATGCATACTAATTTTCTATTCTTGTATGTATCACACAGATGCATACTAGACTACAATAACAAAAAGATGTCCAGTTCATTAAAAGGATGACTTACTGTGGATGATTTTTATAAACAGAGCCATCCACTCCGATGGTTGTACGCAATTTCTCGGCCGCTTTGTTATCCCGAATTTGCCGCAGTATGGCCACCAGGGTGGCAGCACACAGGTGAGCAGCCCGTGTCGATACTATTTGACACACCCTCTGAGTGGCTAAGCAGTCCTCCACAGATGGGTCCAGACCCAGGTCCCGTAAAACTTTCTCAGCACAGGCCAGACCTTCTTCTTTTCTGTTGGGTTACAAATGTTACCTAAAACTTTGTGGTATTTTCATAGATGTTGGTGGTTAGGCAACTTAATGTAAAGACAACATTACATTAAATTCATTGACCTCAAAATGTACATTAAAATTTACTTTGGTCCTACTTGTTAGTTCACTGCTTTGCATAAATTTTAATTAAAATGCACTTGTTAACAAACCATCAGTATAATTAGTCTGTGAAATGAGCACAGGCAAACAACTTAATGTTACTTCAAATAGATAAACTAATTTATTTGTACAAGTAAGGAAAACTCAAGATTTGTAGTCTGTCAAAGTTCATTTAAACAGCTTTCATCTTATTTTCTTGCACACCTTTGAGGATAAGATGGCAGACTAATGAGGTTCAAATACACATTTACTTTCTTTTGCTGAAAACATCAGACAGCTTTTGAAAAACATTACACTGATCTTGTAAATGTTTTTGAGTTGAGCAACAGTAAACTAACTTGTCATTTTCAATGGCGTAGATGTTTCTGACGCTGAAGCTCTCTGTGGTGAGGAGTTTTGCTGGGGTCTGGCCCCTGAAGAGCAGCTGCTCTTTAGCCATCCTCACCAGGATGAGACGGACTAGTTCCCCCAGGTACATGCCACTGATCATCTTCTCAAACCTGCCAATAAAAAGGACTGTTTATTCCAAAAATATCCACTATTTGCTGACCTATACCTAAAAACCAAAACACAATTTTCCAGGAAGGCCCTGCAGAAGTTTCCTTAATGTGATCAGGGCAACTGAGTAAATTATGCAAATGTGTCCTTTTAAAATACCAAACTATAAATAAAGTTATCCTTTGAAAAAAAGTTATCTTTTATTTTTCAGTGATCCAGATAGTCATTAGCTACATAAGCAGTGAGGGATGTGTTTTGTGTCTATAATTTCAGTGTTTCTGAAGTGGCAGTGGTTTTCCAGGTGAAAAACAACTCCCCGGCCCCATTCTGGAGGTATAATATTAATCAAAAAAATCAAAGTAACCAACATTTTTGAACGTCTTTTTTTTTTCTTTCTAAAATAATGAATGAATGTTTCCCATTAAGACAGAAACTCACAGCTGTTTTCCAGGGTTAAGAGAGCCAGCATCTATTTCCCTGTCATAGTCAGTACGCAGGTCCTCCAAGCTGCCATCATCTCCAAAAGCTCCCCACTCTGTATTTACACACATACGTCCTTCATCTCCCTCCAGCACCTCCAGGTTCCTCATCTGTTCCATGTAGCAGGCATTGGTCCCCGTCCCTAGAGAATTGACAGCATATCAACAACTAAGCAATTTACAGCAAAATATAAGTTAAACATTATAAATGGATGCAAAACAATACCGGTACATTTATCAGTTAAATGAATGACCTTTGAGTCTCCATTTTTTGAGAGTATGAATACAAGTATTGGAATAAAGTATTGGTCTCAATACCAACACCGACATCACTATCTGCGAATCCTAGCTTATACTGCCATATGTTGGTTTTGACCATTTCAAACATGTTTGTGTCCTATTAACATGTTAACTATACCTTAATTAACTTGTTTGGCAAACACTACAACTATCTAGAGGCAATATACTGCTACTACTTTATTACTTAAAATGGAATATTAACAACAGAGTAAACATTGCAGATATAATGGTAAGGGAAAAAAACCTTGTCTGTCCTTTAAAATTAGAATACAATGAGTGTCTATCAGTAAATAAGAAGACCCACGTGTAAGTGACCTGAATGAACTCTGAATGCTTATACTGAAATGAAAGCATTTTCAGACAGTTAAACAGAAGTAAGAAATAACCTGAAAAAGTTAAACATGAATGTAGACATTTAGATGAAATGTGCCTCACATATAATAGCTGTGTTGGCTTAAAAACAGCTTGATATTTCACCAGAACTATGCTGAAACATGCTTTGAGATGGCATTTTGCTTCAAATATGCAGTCAACAATTGCAGCCTGCCTGGTTTTCCTGAATATTGAATTGAAAATTTTAATAAATGCTAATAATGCTTTCTCAGTTTGATTATATTACATTTACATCAATCACTGAAAAAATTTGAGCTACACTACTGTATTTGACTTACCCACAATGAGGCCAATTTCACAGAGGTGATCATCGTAGCCACAGGTCACCATAGTCCCCACAGTGTCATTGACTACTGCCACCACATCAATGTCAAAGTCCTAAAGTAAATGTAAATAAGTTGAGACATTAAAATTACTTCTACTGGAAATAATTTCTAAAAAAGCATTTAGATCGCAGTGTTGTTTACCTGCTCCTGGTGTCTCTCCTATAACTTAATTTTGATATAGACGGCATTGCTTCCGTTACTTGTAACTTTTGTGAGGGCGAGAGAGGCGTCATCTCTTATTAGGGGCATCTTAGCAATGAAAATATTGGGTACATCACAACCCTGTGTATGCCAAATTCACCAATTCAAAAGCACCGCTACAACAATACACTTGCTTTTGTTTCGGTTGTGTTATTCTTGTGATTGATTGTTAAAATCGAGATTCTAATCCAAATTTGATGAATTACACACTCCTACTTGCTTTACTGCACATACCTGTCTGGAGAACAAGTTTCAGCTTGAAGGAGTTTGGAGTTTAAAAATACATGGTGGATAATAGCACAATAATAGCGCATAATTCTGTCATAACATGGTCCACTAAATTCAAGAGAAAAAAACAAAAATGTCAAATGTGTGTTTTATTGACACTTCTGTTGATCACAATCACTTTAAATATGGTCTGCTTTCAAATTACTGGGCTTAACTCTTTTATGCAATATGATATATTCTAAGTTATCATTACATGAGTGGTTAAGTATCAAAATAATGTTGACAATTGTAACGTTTATCTGCAATCATTGTGGGACAATATATCGTCAGGCAAAATTTGTTCCAGTCCCAGGCCTACATCGACTGTAAACAAAAAGCTAGAACTTTTGTAACTCAAAACCTTTTGAATAAAATAATTGTTATAAACGTTATCAAACAGTAGGTCATTTTGTGTATTAGGCAGGTGTTGTATAATTACCCCTCTTTTTTTGATGGATTTTCTCAGAAGACTAACAACATCTTTACCCTCCACTCCACTGGCCCTGAAGCCTTTGGTCCATGATATCAAAACACTCTGCAAATAGCACAGCAAAAACATAACAATTGTTACTTTGGTTTAGTCAGAACTCTCCAAGGTTTCTCTACTAAGGATCATTTACTACAGATCGGTTTAAGGTGCTTGGTGAAAGGAATGAGGTACTAAATGTAAATGAGTTCCTATCAATCCAAATAATTTTCATCAACAATTACCTCATCTATCTTGGTCTGCTGACACGGGAAAGAGAAAGTGAAGCCTAAAGGGAGTTTCTTGTCTTTAATTCCCCTTTTCTCCATGAAATTTGAGAGACAATCGACCACGTGATCAAAAAACTGGAAGTGAGAAAATGTGACGTTAAGATGCACTCAGGTAAAGGTAAATACATTTGATTTTTTTCTCAACACATCTAAAATTTCATCAGCGACCTCCGCGTGAAAGTATTATTTAGAGCATTGGCAACATATTTACTTATTTTTACTTTTTTATAAATCTATGTATTTCATGTCAACCTATTTGTTTTTACAGAAAAAGCTACTTACAGTACAGTAGAGGTTTTTCACACACACAAATGACACATAAAAATTGGACTTAATAACAGACTGATCAACTAGAGGGCTTCTTACCTCTGTCCCACTGCCTCTCATTATATGTTCAGGAATGTCATAAATTTGATTTTCCATCTCCACTTTTTGCTTGCCGTTAGCCTTGACTTTCACTAAGAGGACTCGGAAATTGGATCCTCCAAGGTCAAGGGCCAGAAATTCACCTTCCTCTGCAAGACATTTTATTACCGTATTCAAGGTTCAACACTGAGGGCATCTCTGAAGTGACAATCTTTTTTTGTTTATTTTATAGACCTTATGGGACCTTAGACTTAGTGGTTTATAATAAATCTTAGTCATATTTGTCCATTTTAATGGACTGTAAGGCTTTATCATATTAGTCATAGACAAAGTCAATTAACATGTAAATATTCATTATTCATTATATTATTTATTTTATTATTTTTTCTCTCTCTCTTTTTCCTCCAGAAATTACAAATGTAGAACCATCTGTTTCAATTTCAGTAACCTGGTGTTAAGGATGTAACAGCATTGCATGGTTACTGTGCTCAAAGTTAATTGCTAAAAGAGGACGTCACAAAATTAGTCAGAGAACAGATTTTGTCTGCTTTTGTTAAAAAAAAACTATATATATAGACTTTTTGAGGCAAAATAATCAATAATCACAAAAAAGTGATGCAGAATCCTGTAGGGACTGACTATAGATAGTATAAGGATAACTCCCAGGAAAGGATGTAACAGTAGAGATTTGTATCAGCAAATTTGACGAAATTTAGTACAAATAAATATTAATTGTGTATTGTATGTTGTACTACCTGTTCCATCGGGAGTTGAGCGCACAAACGTGGGCAGCATTTTGACCGCAGCTGTGGGGTTTGTGTCCCTGCACAACCCTTTGTCCATCTCACGTCGAAATCTTATGGACAGCTCCATCAGAGTTCTATCTGACAATTTCAGGGGGGTTAGATATTTGTCCACCTAGAAATAAAGTATTTGGACATTAGTTCTTTAGATTTCCTTACGTATGTTTTAACTGAGCTTTTACACTCCAAATTCATGAAAAACCTTCAGAAGTTCTTTTTGTGCCAGATTCTTACTTAGTGATGAAAGTTTGAAAAAATAGAAAAAAAAGCTATTGTGATACAAAAAGCTTTGTGATAATATAAACATCCCAAAAAATATATATTTTTTAAAGTATATCCTTGGTATAAAATGAACACACAGTTCAATGTTGTGTTTCACTACAAATGAGAAAAATAAGCTCATAAATGACCTTTTCAGGACATAAACATAAAAAGTTATACAATGAATGTGTGAATGAAGATTAATTCATTTTTGCAAACAAAAGCAAACAAATGAGTGTATGAATTCTGATAGGAAGACTTTACAGAAACCAGTATTAGCACAAAGACATTATCAACTACTGGTATCAAAACCTCCACCAACAACACCTGGCAACTTTTTGCACTACTGACATTTGGTGAGAAGCACTGTATTGTACATAGTAGTCATTGTTTAGTCCTAGTGAACAGGCAAGTCAAAAATCCAACAAAATGAAGTTCTTCTTTATACTCCAAATGTCTAGTCTTTAGCCACGCCTCCTTATTAAACATTGTTCTGCTTTAATTACCCTTTCAGTCTTTAAAGATAATGTTTGTGAGTTCAGTACATATTTGGCACCTTCAATGTACTATTTCAAGTCATTGTACGTGTGAGAAAGGAGTTTATTCAGCTTATTGTTGCCAGACAAAAGGAAGGTTACCAAGGCTGTACTGTTATTTGTGTGTATTTTGTATATTTTCCTTTATCAGGGACTGATACTACGACAGGTTAGTCTAGATTCCTGTTACCACCACTACAAAAACCTGCTGATTGCGTTACCTGTAGACTCCACTATCAGTGGGGAGCAACAGGTTCTTTGGCTCCAGGCCACTGTTTTGTCAAATCAGGATATACTGCCAAAGTAGCATAGCAACCATCTACCCAGAAGCTATAAGCCTATAAGAAAGTCATGTTTTAATTAAATAAAAAATACATTTTTTTAGTAAATGCAGCTGAGGTCATTTATAACAACTACCATAATGCAGTTCACTTAAAAGGAAGCTTGTTTTATTTCAAATTTCCACCTTTTTTTTGTACTTTGATTAGAAAGAACCTTAGGCAGCCTCAGCTTGGACCCTGCACAGTAGCGGCTTGAGCAGAAAATGAGGCATGAATGAGACGCACTATGAAATGAGGTGCACACTAAGGGAAATGAAACCCAGGAAGACCAGTGTTTGGAAGGGCGGTAAGAGAGCATCTATGCCAGGAGTCAATTATGTATTCATCACGTTCACAATGGTTGGTTTCCTTTCTGGCTGTGACGAGACAGCATATAGGTATGAGTCATTTAAAATACAAGCATCTATTTTGGATTCCGATATTTGTTCATCCCATTCCAAAGGAGTCTCTCTGCCTAGTCATGAACCTAACTGCATGTCACTGAGTTTAAGAAACAACGGACAATCACCTATGTCACCATTGTGTTACTAAGTACCCTTGAAGTAGCTCTCAAAAAAGGTAGTGACACCTGACCTATATACTACAGTTACCTTTGAAAAAAACGTGAATTCAGTGCTGAGTGTCAGATCAATGGAAAAACGTATCCAAGCTATCGTATCTCAACAGTGGGCTAAATGTAATGGGACTAACAAATTACATTTTTTTAAAATATTTTAACATATATTAATTATATTATAACATAATATATGTTATTACTCATATGAAAATGCAATGCTAGTATAAATCTCAAAGCATTGAAATTTTTGAAAAACCATGGTTAAGCTCTCACTTACACCATGTGTAGCTGACAGTTTTAGATACAGGCATTGGTTATCTGACAGGTACACCTGAAAACAGGCTCTTCCTACATTGCTGTGCATTCTTAATGGTATCATGTCCCTAAAATATTATTGTTATTACCATGGGAATACCCAAAATGCACAGCTAAGCAATTAATTTATACATACTCAACATTCTGTAATGCAAAAGTTTTGATATCAACTATTTTCATTAATATGCTAATTTTCACAGAAAATATGTGTTTTGGTCAATATAAAAGAACAGGTGGTGAGAGGTCTTGTAGAACACTATAGTAGACAATCAGCATCTCCCATTTGCTAAAGGTTAATTTCAAGCACCGTGTTTTAAAAATGGACCCCCTCTGTCAAGACACACCACCAAATGTCACTTCACCACATCAGATTGTCTTATGTCATATTGTCATATGTATTACATGCCATTATAAACCAGCCACTGGGGTACACTAGGATACACAAGCCAGTGCTACTATAGTGATACTATAGTGCCGGTCCCGAGCCCAGATAAATGGTAAGGGTTACGTCAGGAAGGGCATCCGGTGTAACACTTTTTGCCAAATCAAATATGCGAATCACTAAAACGATTTCCATACTGGATCGGTTGAGGCCCGGGTTAACAACGACCACCAACAGTGCTGTTGACCTAGAGGGTACTGGTGGAAATTGGACTACTGTTGGTCAGAGACAAAGAAGAAGAGGGCGATTGATTCAGACAAAAAGAGAAAAGAGGAAGAATAGAAGTGTTGGAAAGGTTTACAGGACGGTGGTGAGACCAGCCATGATGTATGGTTTAAAGACAGTAGCAATAGGCAGAAGACAGGAGGAGGAGCTGGAGGTGGCAGAGTTAAAGATGCTAAGATTCTCTTTAGGAGTGACAAGAATGGACAGGAATGAGGTCATTAGAGGGACAACACAGACAGGAAGGTTTGGAGAAAAGGCTAGAGAAGCCAGATTGAGATGGTTTGGACATGTGCAGAGGAGGGACAGTGGTCATTGATATTACATTATAACACAATTAATTAATTACAATTGATAGAATTAATAGCATTGGTAGAAGAATGTTAGATATGGAGCTACCAGGTAGGAGACAAAGAGGAAGGCAAAAGAGGAGATATATGGATGCAGTGAGGGAGGACATGCAGATAGTTGGAGTCAGAGTAGAAGATGCAGAGAACAGGAAGAGTAAAATAATGATTCGCTGTGGCAACCCCTGAAAAAAGGGACAAAGTCGAAAGAAAAAGAAGATTATGTGCCATTATCTGTGTTCTGTTTCTCTTATGCTATTAGACTGAACGGAGCAAAAAACTAAAACAAATAATTACTTCACAGTTATACTCTAATACAATGACTGGCTGATTTTATGTATTACATGTACAAACAGAATTAATGATGAAAATAATCTCTTCAAAATGTTACAAACGTTTTCAATTTACAAATGTTGCCCTTTTAAAAGGATACAATCGAACTAATGTAAAGGGATGTCTTTGTATTTGTTAGATGTGCGTTTATGCTAGTTACAAAACTGACAGTTGACGTGTTAACATGAACGTCCTCCTTGTCCCAGGTTAGAGGGCGGGGGCTCCTACTACTCCAAGTGTTTTTTTTATACACACGCATTATAGTTACGAATACATTTCATGTCTCTAACACAGCCTTGGCGCAGTTTTACTCGGCGTCTGTTTTTTAACAGTACTCACTTCATTGGCCTGTTCATCGTGGAGTTCACCGCAGATATTGTCCGGCATTGTGGAGGCTAACATGATACTGACTGATGTTTGACGACTTTACTTCCTGTAACTTTTGTCCTGTCGCTGCTTTTCTTTTACGTTTAACTCAACGTTGAAAAAACAAACAAAAAAGGTGTGTTAAAATATCAAATTCTTTAAAAGTAAAATTTCCTGTCCACAATTCGCACTTTACAATCGATAGAACAGGGATGTCGTAAGGAGCAAAAACTTCCAGCTTCCTTGACAAGGCCGTTCACTGACGTCACGTCCTGTTAACGGCTCTGATTGGCTACAGTGAAGGCGCGGCGTGGTCTGTTCCTTCAGCAACAGGAGAGTCTTAATAACAGCGACCTTACCTCGATGTTCATGTAAAACCTGTGGAACTTAGCTCAATTGCTCACAAGCTGTAATATGTAAACATTTGGAAAGTAACACACAGAGTAACACATTCAGTTGCTAACCACCGTGAAACATGCAGGTTAATTCTTGGACTTTGTTCTGGAGTTTCTTCTGTTTTGGTACCATTGCTGCCATAGTGGTTCTCTCTACCTAACTGCGCATTCACACAAAACAAACAACAAAAACAAACTTTTACAGGCGGCTGACTCTCTCTCAAGAACCTGAGGAGTATGCAGTGGTTCATTAACATTTAAGGATGTCAAGGAAGCAAGTTGGGAGAGGTCCATGCACTTATCAAGGCAGCAAGATCAGCCTCTGCTCCTGGACCAAGCAGAGTTCCATACAGCGTTTACAAACACTGTCCGGGACTCTGCCAACAACTGTGGAAGATCCTGAGAGTTGTCAGTAAGGGAGAGTAGCCAACCAGGGAAAGATTCTCTTCAGCGTTCTGCAGCAAAAGTTGTCAATATTCTGCTTAAGGAACAATTACATCAACACAGGCGGGATCTCAGGTACACCCAGCTGCTTGGAGCACACAGGTGTTGTCACACAGCTCCTGAGGAAAGCAAAGGAAGGTAAGGGCAACCTGGTAGTTGTGTGGCTAGACCTCGCAAATGCTTAAGGGTCCATACCGCACAAACTGGTTGAGGAGACTCTTCGCAGACACCATGTCCCCAATAAGATCAACCAGCTCATCTTGGATTACTACAACAACTTCCAGATGAGAGTGTCCTCCAGGACCATTACATCCAAATGGCACAGGCTCGAGAAAGGAATCATTACTGCTTGCACCATTTCGGTAACACTTTTTGGTTGGTGCAATCCATGGAGGTGGAGTGTCCCGGGCCTCAAACCAAATCTGGAGTGCTCCACTGATCAGAGCCTACATGGATGACCTGACCATAACAACATCCTCTGTCCCTGGTAGCAGATGGAGATCCTTGGTCTTGAAGAAGGGAAAGGTCTTGGACAAGTTCCAGTTCAAGATCTCAGAGACCATAATTCCAGTGCTGTCTGAAATGCCAGTGAAGAGTTTGGAGAAACTCCAGCAAACCTATCCACCTGTGGTAAGAGCGAGACACCAGCCTGCTCACTGTGTGCAGGAAGAGGATCCCTGCAACACCTCTTTAGCAGCTGCCCCAAAGCCTTGGTTGATGGTCGCTACCACTGGCCGAAGCAGTCGCCTCAGCCATCCAGTAAACATCGACCCAGAAAGACTTCCATCCCCTTCCGTTAGGCTGGAAAAAAGCCCCATTCCTCCCCACAAAGGAACACGGGGTGGCTGACCTCAGCCCCAGATTGGCAGCTGATAGTGGACCTTGGATAACAGTTAAAGGTCCCGGAGCACATCACCTAGACCAGACTGTGCCCAGACCTCATAATATACTCAGACATCACCCAGCAGGTAAGTATGTGGGCGTTGACTGTACCGTGGGAGGAGCATATGGAAGAGGCGCATGAGAGGAAGATGGCAAAGTCCCAGGACCTGGTGGAGGAGTGCAGAAGCCTGAGCTGGCGGGCTCGCTGCAAACTAATTGAGGTGGGCTGCAGGGGGTTTGCTGGCCGTTCTATTTGTAAAACTTTGGCAGGGCTGTGAGTTACCGGAGCTGAAAAAGCCATTCAATGGCTTTGGATCAAGAGGGCAAGCCCGTGGACTACAGAGCCAGCACGAAACCCCAGATGACTACAGGAACGTCACTGATGATGCATCCCACCCATCCTAGAGATTTTTGTGAATTCCTGCATGTAAGGTATTTGTGAACACCGCCAGGGTGACACCCTAGCTTGGTGGGTTTATTCTCAATATTAATAACATCATTCATAATTTAACATAATTTATTATAAATGAGGAATCACACTCATGTACACAATAGTGAAAAAATAAAAGTATGATTCTAGTTCAAGATTTTTGTTTCTTTCAGATAACCATAAACACACAAGACTATGATTGGACCATAGTAGAGTAGTAGTAGATGGTTGTCAGGGTTTTCAACTCTGTGGGCAGCTGTGATGTCCTAAAGAGAAGTGACCATTTTTGTGGTATTGTGGCAGTGTTACCAGTTGAGTTATCAAAGTGAGGTGAGGTCCTCACACATGGGCACATTTGTTTGCAATTATTTTTCTACTGACCCACTTTCTTGCATAATTATATAAATTGGTGTTGAATTCTTTATTGGCAAACTTGTATATATCTGTCCAGTTAACCCATATTAAGTGGTTGTGAAACACAACAATGCTGGTTCCTAAACCTGCCTTTGACTCTAGCTTTTCAGTCTCTAACACTCCATTGTGCTTGATAATTAGCATAGAAGCTTTTGTGAGAGTCTATTCACATTGCCCCACTCTGCAGCTGCCTTGCCAAGTCCACCAGCCGCCAGGTTACCACTGTTCACTTTGATGATGGGTTAAAAGCAGCAGTCACATTTGATTGTGTGCAGTGGTGTGCTGGACAATGACAAGGAGTTCACCTTCCTTTATTTTTTCCTTCTAGTAACTCCAAAAATAATCAGAAATTGAACCTTTTAATGAGGTACTTGACACAAGTACTCCTCCATTTCTGCACCATTTCCTACCTTGGCTACAATTAATCATCCGTGACTGTGGAGCTGTGAATGCTTACTGCCAGTAGCAAATTTGATTGTTAAAATTCACAGCTACATTGCAGTCTGTCATTATTGAACACTGCATGACTGATACGCCCAGCTGAGAAGGAAACAGTGTAATTGCTAAATTTAATCTAATGGTGGCATAAGGGGAAGTCCTCTAAAATGTTTTGAACTAATTGTAGAATGCAAACCTTTTCAACATTTTTAAAGATTTTCAACCCTAAACAAACTTTCTGTTTGATATGGTTTTATAGATGTGAGGTATGTGTCATAGTCTCACAGACAGTGAGTGACAGTCAGTGTTGCTAAAATAAAACTTGCTTCATTATGGCATCTGCCATTTAACCTATTTTCATGTGCAGATTCGTAACTTGAACATAATGTTCTCCCGTCTGAAGCGAATGGTGCCACTTATGAGACGTGACAGGAAGCCCATTGAAGTAGACACATTAACATCTGCCACAAGCAATATACCCGATTGCTTGCTGCAGTTTTTCAAGATACTGATGATGTAAGTGGTGATGTCACCAGGACCCAAGTATCTCGTGTTTGTTTTACCCCAAACACAGCTCTGCAACTACACAATGTATCATTAGAGTTATTTTTCACAGCATGACAGAAGTGGGACTGGTTTCCTAAATAGGGCAATCACTTATGGTCAGACTGAAGGCCTAGGGAACGACCTATGGAGACTGGATGATGTGCCATTTGTTTTTCTCTACTGTACTTGTATTACAAGTGATTCGACAGAACTAAATCTAAAGGCAGAGTTTACCAAGCCTTGAACAAGGCATCCCTAAGTGTTTCTCTGCAATGTTCACAAAAACAAGTAGGCAAAATAACCTGCTGTGTCTAATCTTTGAACAACTATCAGAGTCTAAAGGGAAACAGCTTCCAAAAATGTGTCAGACTCTGCTTTTTATAAGGTCAATTAGGGTATGTGATTAATGGAAACAAAGAGTGCCTTGGGTTCATTTCTTTTTTCTTTCATTCCTTTTTGTGATGTTATATTGAAAGCCCATGTTCTAAAAATGGGGGGCATTTCATTAAATTCTGTTTTTATTCCCAGAGCCTTTGCTAAAGCCTGACCTACTACACACATACTTTTTTTCTCGCTCCAAAATGTTGTAGGAAACACAGGAAACAAACAAACACAGGAAGAAAGTGCAACTGAAATGACATTATTAGATTCATTAGAGTGCTGGTCTTTGCTGTCTAATGGAAATCGTATAATTATATATATATTTTTAATCATTCCAGCAGCTAGTAGCAAACACATTAAATACCTACTGTATTATTGTACATTTACCTGGTTGCATATGATTTAAGCCTAATCTAACAAATGGGAGCATTTGCTTATATCAGTATGATGGTCCAGCTCTTCATTTTGAAGCTTCAGGTGTGCAATGATAAGTAACTCTCAGGATAACAAATTGTCTGACATTTAAAACTTTCCTCCTCGACAGATACTTAACACATCAGATGAGTGCATGGATGACGGATTCATGTTATCTCCTGGCCCAGTCACAGAGGATGGAGAAATGACCAGACTGGTGTTACAGTACTGTGTGATGCCTGCGTATGAGGTCATCTAAGTGGCTCCTGATCAAACTACAATAAAACATTCTTCTCTATTGTCATGGTTAATATTTCTGTGATTTAACATTTTGGTAACTATTCCTTAAGATGAATCATGTGTTCTTGATAAAAAATTCCCGGGTTACTGTAAGTTATAATCACATGTGATTATAAACCTAGATAGTGGTTGAATACAATTGGTCACAGTGTGAGAGATGGTGTTGAATTGCAGCTGCCAGTCAGGTGGTGGGAAATTTGTGTGTTTTTGTCGTTATAGTATAATTCCACAATTTAAAAGCCAACCTTGTGTTGTAAAGAAGAAGACTATGATCGTGTGAACTTCTGCAAACAATTGATGAATTGTCGGAGAACTACACTTATCATTTATCATATAATAAATTATCATTTATTTATATGTACTGTATATATATAAATAGCTCCATCACTAGGATTTTTCAGATTATATCCTTCATCCTCCAGATGTCTTAATTAGTGTAAAACAAATTGAATTATTGTTGACACTTGAAAATGAGAATTGATCATTTTAATTTGAATTTTTTTTTAAATACTTGGTTTTATCAAAGGTGCTCATCACATCTGTTTAATTGGTGGAAATCAGTTTGTGGCCACTAACATTGAGCCTAAGCGTCAATTCCAATAACAGATGATTGGACAATGTACCAGAATCATCCACTTCTAACTGCCA